TGTAAAGTCTACGACCTACGCGGGCAATTTCGCTTCGGCTTATGCGGGACATCTGTTATGTAGCCGCGGCCAACATTTGAAAGAGAAAATTTTCAAAAAAGAAGTGCCAAAGAATGTTCTTTCGAATGATAATAAATACTCCCTATTAATTATTTGAAGATTCTGTACGTTCTGAACTTTTATTGAGTAAAAGGAACACATTTGAGGTTTTATTTTCTGTGCTCTTCAGCACTACAGGTACATTTAGTAAGGTCAATAAAGCACAATAACAACGTTTTCAATACGAAGTGCACTTCAATGCACTGCACACCGTAACAATGTGCACGTCTTCAATTATGAGCTTCATATGCAACAAAGCAACAAAAAGTGCACAAATCATCCTTCAATTACGCGCTCAAAGAAACAATAAAAAAGCATTTGTGTGTGTAACAATAGCAGCGCTAACAAAGTTTCTCGACATAATGCCGCATTAGTGGGCCGAACAGTGTGGCAAGGCACTTGAAATGTGCTGCATGTTGGTGTTGATGAAGTGTCTAACGGTATAAATGCAAGAAAGTGCCATTAATTGTGTGATCATCATGCAGCTGCCTTAAGTGAGCTGTCTTGGTCAAACAACCACACACACATACACATATGTATAAACATATTATGACGCTGCAACAAACACAAAAAAGTGCAGCAAAAAGCAGCACCACCAAAGCAATTGTGGCCTCGCATAAAACAAAATTAAAACTCTCTGTTTTGGATGTTTGAAATTACACATATTCTGAGGAGAAAAATTTCCATTAGCGTTTTAGCGTGCGCAGCTGAGCTTCTTGAAGATGTGCGGGAAATTGGGTCAAAAGCGTTTGAATGGCTTTTAAAAGTGCGCAGCAGCGTTGAGGTCAGCACCACGTGGCGGCAAATGCAACGCCTCTACAAAGCGTTGACTTTCGACATGAAATCAGGCTTTCCACTGTGTCCCGGCACGCACACACGCACATGCATACGCACTTTTAAATGTGTGTGTGCGCGTGTTGATGAGCTATTTCGTTACTGTTTTCCATCTATGTACATTCACATTGTATACTATGTAAGCGGCAAGTTGTCTCGTTGCATGTTGAATTCGGTCACTTGCGCGTTTAACATTATCGATAAATTAACTGTTTCAAACATTTTAGTTTGAAAATATTCGGAATTTATGAAAATACGAAAACCGTTAACTTCTAATGCACCGCTGCTGGCATAACGTGCACAAAAAAAAGTTTCCATAGAAGAACGTGAATTTGCTCGTTAACTTTGTATGGCTGCTATATGCTATAGTGTTCCGATCTGCATAATTTTAGTAGATATTATAACGGTATTTTTTGAAATAATCTGTGCCAAATTTAGTTAAGATATCTTTTCAAATAAAAAAGTTTTTCATATAAGCACTTTACTTTGTCTATTCAGCTTGTATGGTAGCTATATGCTATAGCTATCCGATTGAGAAAATTTCTTAACATATTGTAACGTCGTTGTGACTTACAATTCCTGCATAATATTATGACGATAGCTTATCAAATAAAAAGGTGCTCCATAGCATAAAATTTCTCCGGAATTTATAGTAATGTTTCAAACACTAAACCATGCCGAATTCGATGAAGTTATCTTTTCAAATAAAAAAAGTATTCCACACAAGAATTTAATTGTGATTATTCAGTTTGTATGGCAGCTATATTCTATAATGGTCCGATCTGAACAATTTCTTTAGAGATTGTGTCGATACCTTGGATAATTATTAATGTCAAATTTCGTGAAAATAGCTCATCAAATAAAAAAAGTTTTTCATATAAGCAGTTGAGTCCGATCATTCAGTTTGTATGACAACTGTATGCTATAGTGGTCCGGTAACGGCGGCTCTGAAAAATGTGCAACTGCTTGGAGAAAAAAGGATGTGTGCCAAATTTCATAGCGATAACTCAAAAACTAAGAGATTAGTTCGCATATATATATAGACAAAAGCGCTGGGCTAAGTCTCCCTGTTCAAAGTATAAAATAATAATAATTTTTTTTTTTGTATTATATGTTAAAAATTAAAGCAAATCTGTTGTGACTTTTCAGTTAAAAGTCCACATTATGCACATTTCAAAAACCGAAATGATTTGTTTTGCTAAATAACCAATATATAGGTTAGGTTGCTGAATTAAGCGCCGAGCGTGACAAATTTCGTCTATTTACAACGCTTTACTTCCAAACAGCTTTTTGCTCGTCTTAAGTATAAAAAAATATAAACAAAAACTGTTTTTTCTGCTGAAAAGTAAGATAAGTGCCAGCAAAAAAGTTGTCTTCTTTGTTTTTGGTTCGCTTTTATCGCGTGCTCACGACATTTCACTTTCGCGTTTATGGTACTAAGGCGCTTAAGTACTATATATTGAATACTACAGCAAAAAGTAGAAAAGATTACAGTACCATAATAAAAGCAACACCAACAACACGCGATATATGCGCGTTTATCCCGGAAAGGATCAAGGGTTTATCGCAAGAGCTGTGGCACTACTTATGCGCACTTAAAACGAGACTATGCATAATGAACTATAAAATCATAAGAACAATCACCGCATACAAGAGCAGTTTATGCGATATTTGTAAATTTTGCACCATAAAAGAATGGAGCTAACTCATAACAATGGCATTGGCAATGAATGGCGAAATGTTGTGATCACGCTGATCATGCGCCATTTGGCATTAAGTGGCGACAGTACAAAGGTAACAAAAACAAAACTAAACCCAGTAAGGGGCGCTAAGTTCGGGTGTAACCGAACATATTATGCTCCTGCAACTCGCAAGAATCATAGCCAGGGGAATACCTTAGGATGCAAAACGTCTACCAGAGGATCGGAATCAATAACTCGAATCACCTCTTAACTTTCGTTAGAGAGGCAATGAAAACTCGATGGTACGATTGGCCTGGGTTTAAGACAGCAAAAGTCATGTGCAAAACTGTAGATCGGAAGTACACAAAATTTGTATTGGCAATTCGGAATACTAACTGTTCACTGGTCGCGACACACGATCGCAGAATGGAGCTGAATGATCGTGAAAACTACAGGAAATATCTAGAGCAGGACACCAGGAAACAATGGAGCAGCTCTTGGGCACTTTTCCCGCAAGACTACGCTGTAAGTATCTGGGGTCCCCACGGCATGTTACACTGGAATAGGTAGCGACAGTGAAACCGCTGAGTTTGTTAAAATTCGCGTCAAGCCCAAGCATCCTAAAGATGGAGAAAGATGGCATGTCCGAAAATACTGACTTTAGTTATGTGGAGACTAGATCAAGTTTTCGCCCATTTTAGACACAAATATATACTGTTATGAATCAAACATGATCTCTTATTTTCATGTAAATAAACTGCAATTAAAATATTCCTAATGAAAACATTGTCTCTTATTTTGATTTGCACATTATGCTGGCTGCAAGAACTATGCTAAATTTAGAACTTTACGAATCATTTCCCGCCGCTTGCTTTCTCACCCTGTATATTTCCACCGATTTTTATGGCAAAACGTATGCGCCTTGCACTTTGTTGTTTTTCTATTATATTTTAGCGCCTTTCGCCCGCTGCTGCACTTGCCAAAACATTTGTGCAACACGTGCAGATCTTTGAGGCAATTTAATATGGAACTTTATGCTCAAATTTGGGCAACACGTTTTGCCGTAAATCGCGACGCTCATGTTTCAGCTGAGTTTTGTATTGAGCGTAACTTTTATTATTGTACGGTGATTTCTATTTTAATGTCAGCCCATTTTCTTTTCTCTTCGTTGCGTTTTGGCAATGGAGAGGCGAAGAAGCGTGATCTGTTATTATTTTGAATTCTAATGCAGCGCATAAAGGGGAAGCAATTGCCCGAAAGTTTGGTTTTAATCATATATTAACAAAATTTGTAATGGAAAAATTAAGATTAAGAGATTGGAGAAAATGACACAATATACTATAAAGTGACACTTTATTGCAAAGAATTCGGCAGCTTTCTGCCAATTACGGTGTTCTGGGTGATACTTAGGCCTATACGGGTACTATTTGTGATGTTAACAGTCACTTAAATATTCATCTCTACCAAAATGTGGAACCAAAAGGAATTCGGCATTTCTCTGCAAAATTTGATGTATTTTCGTTTTTACTCAAATCGTATTTGAAATCAAACTAAAATTGGCGATAATTTCATTCAGCTTAAATATCAATCAAAATAAATACGACGGACGGACGTACTGACTGTCGAACCAGATTCCATATACTATTATAATACAACGTTATATAGGGTACATGTGTATATAAAACTGCTTAGATACCGATTTTCTGGTTGACATTTTACATTTTAAGGTGTTTCCCTGGCTTCGACTATTGCAAATTGCAAAAGTATAAAATGTTCGGATACATCCGAACTTAGCTCTTTCTTACTTGTTTCAGTTCAAACACAACATCCTTACACAAATGAAGTTTGTGTGTGTTTGGAAATTTGATATGTACTACGGTGCTCAAATTGAAAGGTAGTATAAATAAAATTTTATATTTCTTTTATATAGAATATTTTTTAAATGTATATAATAATTACAGAATAATTACATATATAAAACGTAACGAAGCATCATTAGGTACTCACCAAAGAATTTTTCCATTACTGCACGCATTATTTGCTTGTGGAAATAAAGATTATCCGCCTTTGGGGACGATATTGTGGTCAATTCATGGCAAAGTGTTCATGGAATTTAAAGCTTACAACGATGGACGAACGCATACAACGATAACCGTAATTCACACTTTTACCACTCATCATTTTTATTTTTTTCATTACTTATACGCTTCTACAATCTTCCGCGCACTATCACTATTATTACCGATTATACTAACATACGCATAAAGCAAAACGAATCGAACCCGACACGTATTAACATACTATAAATAGTACATATGTATGCATATAGTGCACGAAACGATGGCCATACATACTTACATATGTACATTATTATCACTACAAAATTGTATTAATTTTCGATGTTTATCACATTTTATTTTCATATCTCTTTTGACTTCTATTAAGTTCTGCATATAATATTTAAATTTATTTCATTTTTATTTACATACATAAGTATTTGCCTGCTGCGTCATGTCGTTGCATGTACGCATGAAACGAACACGTACCGACTGCACAAACAATTTGCATGCCAATTAACTTTCGCACACAAACTCTTTTAAGTGCTTTAACACACTTTTTCACTGCACTATACTTTTCACTTGCCCGCACTTTGTACACTTCTTTTAACATTTTAAAACACTTTTAAACACATTTTATTAATAAATTATTAACAATTCATAGTCAAATCGCAATTGTTCTACACTTTGGTAAAAACAGCAACTGTTTACCAAATTCCAATACATGCAATGAGTATGAAAACCAAACGGTAACACATTCCAACATACTCACGCTGTCTCTCACAGCCACTCATCAATTCTTTTGATCTCTTAATTAGTGTATTAGCACAACAACACGCAGTCTCTCACCCCACTGCTTAATGTTTGCTACCGTTTCCAACAACAAACCATTCATGTTTCTGCAATTATGTGTTTCGGTGGCAGAGAAAGAAGAGTACATAAGATGTAGAAATGCGTTGCGAATACTTTTGTTGTGTTGTTTTTATTCTGTGTTTGTTTTGCAGCACCTGCAATGAAATGAACAATTTTTTTACTGCAGCTAGTTGACAAAGGCAAGTATTGGAAATGTAAATCTGTATGTGATATGTAAATATATTTATAATATCTAGCTGGATATTTTTGTTCACTATTATCTACATATGCTACATTTGATGAATAGAAGTAGAGTGGAAACGGAGAAATATGTGAAGTTCGTTTGCGTGCATGAACGAGGATTATTTCGCTGTTGACATTCGCTATGGAATTTTATAGCATTACTACATAGAAATATGAGCTGTGGTATTAAGAATTAAACTACTGAAGATTTTTTATGGTATTAAGTCTTGTATAATTAAGATATTTTTAAGAAAACTAATTTTGTTAAACGAGTACTGCAAAAGCAACCGCCATGAAATTCTTCTTCCTCTTCCTCTGCTGCCCCCGGCCAGTCGTCCTTTCCTTTCACTGTCCAATTGGAGATTTCAAGCGAGCCAGGTCCTTCTCCACCTGGTTCCAACGGAGTGGAGGTATTCCTTTTCCCCTGCTTCTCCCAGCTGGCACTGCGTCGAATACTTTCAGAGCTGGAGTGTTTTCGTCCATTCGGACAACATGACCCAGCCAGCGTAGCCGCTGTCTTTTAATTCGCTGGACTATATCAATGGCGCGTGACCAACGCTCAAAGGACCGTGAATCTCCACCAGAACATTTTCCTCGAAAACTCGCAACGTCGGCTCATCAGTTGTTATCATCGTCCCTGCCTCTGCACCATACAGCAGGGTAGGATTAATGAGTGACTTATAGAGCTTGGTTTCTGTTCGTCGAGAAAAGGAAATTTTCATGCAAATATCTCCTTATGCAAGTTCGAGTCCGATTATATTCTGACTTGGAAAATATAAGTCTTCCAGAATATTATCAATATAAACTGTGGCACGCATTAAACCATCGATACATATGTACATCGCTATCACTTACCCACTCACTAACTCTTCTTCCCCCTCATAAGCGCTAAGCCTGCAAGAAAGTAAGCAACAAAAGTGAAAAAGATTAAAAAACCAAATAATTTAGTGTGAACAGTTAGTAGACTACGAGCACTTGCACTGAACGATTTTCCTAATTACGCAACTGCCATGCAAACGTAAAACAACAACAGTCAAGTGGCATGAGCAACAACAACCTTAACTATGCTGCCGCAGTAATTGTCCGACAAGAATGTGCAACACTGAAAAATAACAATAATTACGACAACGAGGCTTGCTGCAACTGCGCGCGTTGTTATTGCTGTTGTTGACTTTATTGCACAGCGGCAAGTGTGAAACTCACGTTATTGCATTTAACTGGTAGCAAAAATGAATTAACTTTCACGTTATGGGGCGGACAGGTACTCGCCGCGCCGCGCTGCAACGCAAGTAGAGCCAGGCATGCAGCGACGGCGGCGCGTCAAGGCTGGCAGAGTTGTGCAGCTAAGGCCAAGGAGGCAAACCACGTATGCACCGCATAAATAGACAAATGAAGCGTTGCAACTTCGCGCCTCACTTGCCCACTTCATATCCAAGCCACAGCGCTCTTGTGGCATGCAGATATGTGCGTGTGCGCGCAATAGCCACGGTGTGAACTCACACATGCGTCGCGCATGCAACTAGAAGTAGTGCTATAGCGACGCAGCGAAACACTTTCATTTCCCTATCCGCCACAGCGTATTTTCGTAAAGCTTCGTTCGTATTTCTGTGTGTGCGTGTGTGCGCAAGGAGTGGTTGTTTATAAATGCTTGTTGCAATTTTATTTGCTTGCAACAAATGCCATGTTGCATGCTGTGAGGAATGGTGTTGATTCTATGCTGTGCAAATAACTCTGCCTTTTATCAAATCTCCATTGTAGTGGAGCAATTCTTTCGAGCGTGCGCTTATGTGTATGTGTGTGTACCGCTTATGCCGTAGTTGGCAGGCAAAAGTGAAAATTGGACATTGTTTCGCTCGCACGTTGTGCATTAATAATCCGCTGTTAAGCCAATTTTTATTAAGAAGAATTGCCATTGCCAATTGCCAATTTGAGAAGCAGCAAATATTTATAGCGGGATTCTGTAACTAGTCTCTAGTCTCTATTTGAGACATTTTGACTTAAAATTTCAGTTTGTGACTAGTTACTATTCACTAAACAGTCTCTAGCTCTAGTCTCAAAATATTGCCTCAAATTTGAGACCTGGTCTTTAGCGAGTCACAAAACCAAAAAGAACTCTTGTCTGCCATTTTGAATATACTGAATAGCGATAGAGATATTAATCGATTGTCGTTTTTTTAATTTTTGTAAGCAACTCAAACACGCAAAGGTTAAAAATAGATCAATTTTACATAAATTTCGTTAATGTTATGAAACAAAGTGAACATATATTTTTATTTTTATTGATAATTATGTTTTTTGACTATGTTATAGAAAATTTAATATTTGTTATCGACATATTTATTTTCATTCAAGTATAAAAACATCTCTGAATAATGAAATGTAATAGATCTTGTGACTGTCACTTACAGAATAGCAAAATCGTCTCAAGTCTCAAAAATTGTCTCTGTCAAATTTAGAGACTTGATACTGTATCACAGTACAAAATCGCACGGTTAGCAGTGAAAATAATGGAGGCTTTCTAAGTGTGCCATATGTTGCTTTTTGGCAATATAACAATAAAACACATTTTTCTTGCTTGCACCGAAGCTATAGTACCTTTCACAAATATAAAGTGCTCATACAAGAACTTGATTTTGATCGCCAGATAAAAAAGTTGTACACATGAGAACTGGAACGTGATCGCCCAGTTTGTATGGCAGTATATAACAGCTATAGTGACTCGATCTGATCGCTTTCTTCGGAGATTGTATCGTTGTCTCGGAAAATAGTCTGTGTTCAATTTCACAAAAGATATATCTTCAAATAAAAAAGTTTTCCACACAAGAATTTAAACGTGATTGCTCAGTTTGTATGGCAACTATATGCTAGAGTGGTGCGATCTGATCGGTTTTTACGGAGATTGTATTGTTCCTGTAGAAAATACTCTGTACCAAATTTCGTGAAGATATCTCTTCAAATAAAAAATTTTCCATACAAGAACCATATTGCGTTCGTTCAGTTTGTATGACAGATATATGTATGCTTTAGTGAACAGATTTCAACAATTTCCGCGGACATTATACCGTTTTCTTGGACAATAATCCACGTTAAATCTCGGAAAGATATATTGTCAAATAAAGTATTTTTTCATACAAGAACTTTATTTTGAACTCTCAGCCTGTATGGCAGCTAAATGGCATGGTCCGATATCGCCGGTTCCGACAAATGAATAGCTCTTGCGGAGAAAGGGACTATCGTAAAATTCCAGCTCGATATTTCAAAAATGAAAAACTAAAGCGGGTTATATTTTGGAGTATTACTAAGGAACAGTAAGTCTCTGTGTAGTGCAACGGCCGTCCAATATAACCTAACCTAAAGTACTACCAGAGATAAAGAGATGTTTAACTCCTCTCTCAATGGAAGTGAGAGAGCCATTGCTAAACGTCAAAACCTAGTGAATTTTGAAAGCTAATCGAATTCAGTAGGTTTTGACGTTTATCAATTGGAAACGAGCGATGGCCAGATTGAAATCTTACCAAAAAAAAATATGTAAATGGAGGGATTGGTTGCATCGTTCAAGACCACTTATAAAAAATGTAAAGCAATGAAAATTAAATAAATTTGTGAAATTTAAAGGTATTTAATGAAACGTTTTGTAATTTGAAGCATCATAGTACTATTTTCAATGGAAAATGATTAAAAACATTTAATGATTAAGAGCTAAGAAGCTTAAATCGTTTTATTGGATATTCAAAGGTCAAAAGTCAGTTGTTTTAATATACTTTAAGTAGATTTAAATAGTCTTTCCATATAATAAATAACCACTATATGTGACCTGGTCTACGAAAAGGGAGCTGACGTGCGAAAACTAGTTTTCTGGGAAACAGCTGTTAAAAAAAAGCATCTCATCTTCCATCCGAATCAACTAAAAAGTGAAAATTGATTTTTTGACACCTAAGCCCCCTTTCCGCAGACCAGGTGACATATAGTAATTGTTACTCGTACTAAATGTTGGGTGTTTTAATTTAAAATTCCCAAAAATTGTTATTTTGTTCGATCTGGCCATAATGGAAAATGTTATAAAAAACGCTTATTTTGAGGCGCTGTCATACTGAAATAAGTTGAACATCATAATGGAAAATGTTATAAAACGCTTACTTTGAGGCGCTCTCACACTGAAATAAGTTAAACATCCCTTTATTCCTAGTACTACTTTGAGCAAAAAATGGTACGACTTTGTTCACAATCTTAAAATTCTTAATTTGTTATTCAAAATCTATGTTGTCCTTCTCAAAGTAATACCGATGGCACCAATACCCTCAAAGCAGTTGTTAAAGTCAATTTTCGTTTAATGTCTTCAATTGACTCAAAACGGTTTTCCCGGAGCGGTCGTTTGAGTTCCCTGAATAACCAGAAGTCGTAAGGAGCTAATATTGGGTGAAAATGTAATTTTCACTCAGGTTCTCGTGCTGGCAGCCGTCTAACGACCATCACACTGGCCGAAGCATGCACTTTTCCAGCATTAGCAAGACTACGGTGTAAGCATCAGGAGTCTCCACGTTATGATACACTGGAGAAGGTATCGATATTGAGACTGCAGAGTGTGTTAAAATTCGCGACAAGCGCAAAAGGCCAAACTCGTCTAAGCGTGGCTTATTGGACTACCATTTAACCTAAACTAATCTTGATGAAATCGAAGTGGATATTTAACAAGATGATGCGCCGGCTCATGTTTCGTGTCTAAACATGGGCATAAGTATTGCGCGAAAAGCTTTGTGACTCCTTGAATTCAAGAGGGCTTCAGTCAAACGGCTGCCAGGACCAAGTGATTTAAGGCCTCCTGATGATTTTCTGGGGTTATGTTAAAGGCTTAAAAGGCTTACGCCAATCAAGCAGCAATGCTCGAGAAGCTCGAAGACAACATTCCAGCCGA